TTAGCACCTCTAGTAATATATTTACTGAGAAAAATGGTGACGTGTTTAATACTTATTTTACCCGCTGTATAGCAAAAAAGTAAAATTACAAAAAAACAAAAAAATAAAATACAATTAAAGCACATAAAGTATGTATTTTCACTCTGACACTAGACATGTTTAGTTCTGCTTTGAATGCCAACACCAGCATGACTCTGCACAATTCACTGATGAAACAGGAGAGTTTTGACTTGGAGCCTTCTTAAAGTGTTAGTTCAGATCTTTCAGTGTGGGGTTCTATGAAAAAAAATTGGAGAAATTTAGTTTGGTTCTGAGTAATGTCGAAGTTGGACCATGACCATAAAGGATTGTTGGGACATAAAACAACTCCATGAGAACATTGTTTTAGAAAATTTAACTTCATCAAATTAATAAATTTTTTATGTTTGAAATATATATAGTAGCCTTTTTTCTGTTCTGAACAGACTGTTTTTCATATTTGCACAGAAAGAGATTGACCAGACGTTTGTTCCTTATGTTTGGATCATTTTGGTAAGTTCTAAATTTAAAAGATGCATCTTTCTCTATTGTCAAACATGCATAAATCCCTTTACTCGTGTTTTTGCTAAATAATATAATTGTTGTTTTTTCTTTGTAGGCCTGGCAGAATGATTACATTTCCTGGGATCCTATGGATTTCTGTGGAATTGATTACGTCGCTATTCCCACAGACATTCTGTGGAAGCCAGACCTGACCATTGAAGAGATGTGATTACACCAATGCACATGCACACTTTTTTTAGATTAAAAAAAAAAGGCTCAACATGAAACATTAGTGTGATAACTCCAAAATGAATACAYGACTTGCACAGAAGAAACCAATAATACCTTCATACAAAAGTTGCAGTTCTAGCCTGCCTCTCTGATGGTATGGGGGTGCATCTGGAAAGGCAAAAGCAAACTCTTTCACCATCTTTAAATAGAACACATGCCTCTTTTGTGAAGAAGTGTATTTTAGGATCAAACACAGAGATGATTAATCCTTTACTGAGCGATTATTAAACTAATGTCTGTGTATTTTTCTTCCTAAATACCTAACTGTGACTGAAATGTGCGATTGATTGTACAGGACAGAAAAAGATAAAGCCCCTCCGAGTCCTCATCTGACTATCAGGAGCGATGGAAAAGTCCTTGTTCAGAACGATCAGGTGTTGGTCAGCACCTGCAGGATGCAGGTTTACAAATTCCCGTTTGACATCCAGAGCTGCAACCTTTCAGTCAAATCAGTCGTCCACTCTGGTAAGCCTTTTATTTGTTGGGTTTTATATTCTTGGTCAAGTTAATGTCTGATAAAAACAATGAGTTTGATTTAAATGTTTATATTCTTTTCTACACATTTTTTTTTAAACCTCCCCTTTTTCCCCCTCCTGTTTCAGTTAAGGAAATAAAACTTAATCATCATCTGAACTCCTCAGTGAGYACTAACTGGTCCCGCCAGCTGATGCGGACGCAGTACGAGTGGCTGTTTGTGAACATGACCATCACCGCCCAGATTGCTACCCAGTTTGGAATTGAACAGGATGTGATCATTTATACTGTAAGCAACTGATCCCTACAGGTCATTTATTTACAGAGTGCATAATTATTGCCTGAAAAGATTAATACAAGTTCACATKTTGTTTGATCAAGTAGTCAAGCTGTACGACCGGTGTCAGAGTCTGGTCCGCATTGCCGGCAGTAAGTCAGGCTCGTTTCTGGTGAGAGTTGGACTCCGCCAAGGC